TTCAGAGCAGGGTGGGAAGAGCGGGAACAGAAAAAGCAGCGTGCAGAGAGAGAAAGCAATATCTCCATCTGCAGCTGGACTCTGTGTGATGTCATATTCTGAACCAAAGCCAATCTCTTCCCATTTGACAGAAAAATGCTGAGAATATGTTTCCATTTTACTGCATACTTATAAGGGGAAAAAAAAGCATTTAACTTGGTAGAGTGTGATGGTACATTCAATGTGCTTAATAAACTTATAATGGGTTCATTTATTTAGACACTGGAAGAAATAGGCTCCCACTGGACAATAGAAATTACAGTGCTTTTGCTGCCTCCATCAACACAATGGGATGTGCAGAGCCTGTCAGAGCTGATTATAATCACTCTGGAATTGCTCTTAAAAAATGAACCAGGAAACAGGAATCTGTGCTGACGATGTCTCTTTTCCTTCCTTTTGATACTCCATGTATTTGAGCATAAACTTGAGATCTGAGAGCTAGAAGCTTCCCTTAACTAGAAGAATTGAGGCAACAGCTTATCAGAAACTGTTTATTGTATTTTCAAAGACCCGAGAGCACAACACCATGCACCCCAAGAAGGAAAGAGGACCCATAGCCCATAGGAGGAAAGAGACGAAAGTGATGGCTTTGGAGAAATGGTTCAGGAGTTAAGAATGTTTATTGCTCTTCCAGAGGACCCGAGGTCAGTTCCTAGCACCCGTTTGGGGTGGCTCCCAACAGCTTGCAATTGCAGACTGCAACTCCTGGGAATCCGATGCCCTCTTCTGGCCTGTGGGCACACGTGCAAACACACACACACACACACACACACACACACACACACACACACACACACACACACCACATGAATTAATCAAAGAAAGCAGTAGCTTCAGTCACTCCTCCCCATTTTCCTTCTCTTGGCATATGCTTCTATGGGGCCTTCTCCCCTAGCGAGCTCACCTGGAATGGAGGTGAGGTTAATAATGTGAGGATCCTTGTGGCAGCTGCTCACATCACTGTTGATCCGTTACTTGAATGAGGAATCACAGGAGCCTGCTAGCATCCTTAGCCCAAGCTCTAGGTTATCACCTTTCTCCACGGGGGCTCAGGCTTCTAGTCGTACTTGCCCGTTCTCTCCATGTCTCAACACAGAGGCAAGCAGGCTCTTCTTACTGAATCTGCTTTACCGGAAATTCACACAGACATTCTACAATCCCTGGTGTTAGATGGATACTTTCAGTAGTATTGTTTTGATTTGAATACTGCCATGTCTATATTGTCCTACTTACTACTAGGTCTGTTTGGAAATCTCATCCCCTGTCTCTCTCTGTCTCTCTGTCTCTGTCTCTCTCTGTCTCTCTCTGTCTCTCTCTGTCTCTCTCTCTCTCTCTCTCTCTCTCTCTCTCTCTCTGTTGTATGTACATGAGAGTGGACATACAAACATGTGTCAGCCAGAGGTCAATGTCAGATACCAACCTCAGTCACTTTCCACCTTATTTTGAAGACAGTGTCTTCCACAAGCCTTGGCTCTTGGCTAGGCTGGGGTGGTCACCGAGTTCCAGGGACCCGTGTGTCTTCCCCTCCCTAGGGCAGTGTTGACAAGTGTGTGCTGCTGCCCTGGGCTCCTCAAGCTGGATACCGAAACTCTAGGCTTCATGCTAGTGGGGCTAGTCTTTCACTGACCGAGCCTTCTCCGCAGGCCTTCATCCTCTTCCTCCAATCTTTATTTTAAATCCTTGTTAGGATTTAACTTTCATTAAACTTCAGACTTAAAACGTCTTTTTTTAATTGTCTTTGGGTGACTAGAAATTTTGTCTAAAGTCCTCACTTGTGGCAGGTTTTGTTTGGGGGCTATGTTTTTATGAATTTATTTTTTTGGGGGTTTTGTTTTTGGGTGAAATAAAGTTACATCACTCCCCCTCCCTTTACATTAGCCTTCTTGTGCCTTCATTTTATAACCTGTTAAATGGGAACAGTGGGTTCTTACCTGTGTGGTTCTTTTGTGGTATAGTCAACATAATAGTTAAAAAGTGCTTAAGACAGTGCCAGATAGATGCTGGACCACTTCTCCTGCACAGGACTCCCCAGCTTTCTCTTCCTTGTCCCCCCCCCATGACTACTTTCCTAAGATCCTTTTGCAAAATTCTTATAGGATAAAAATATTACCATGTACATATGGAGGAGTAGCAGATGTGTCTCAGTAAGGAAAAAGAAAGTTTAGTTGCTTTATAGTCAATAATATTTTGTTGTTAAACTGGTGTGGTGGCACATGCCTTTAATCCCAGAACTCAGGAGGCAGAAGCAGGTGGATCTCTGTGAGTTTGAGGACAACCTGGTCTACCCAATAGGTTCCAGGACAGCCAGAGATGTAACACAAAGAAATCCTGTCTTGAAAAATCTTGTTGTTAAATATGGAGACCTCTTTTTACCTTCGACCTCTTTTTACCTGAGAAACTTTTGTTGCACACTTAACATATAGACATATATAATAGGTATACAGATCAAATGTTCACTGGTAATAAATCACAACGAAATTAAGTTTCAAGTAATTATTTGCTTCACACATGATTTTTACCATTTACAAGAAACAGAAGCAAATGAACGTGCTAATGAGCAGGGTCTATCTATTTTTTTGCGTCAATATTGAGAGTTAAGTCTTGGCTGAACGTCTGATATTGCGGCATGTAGAGGATCTTGAAAATTTTTCAGAGTTGAGTGACAGTCCAATATCCTAATTGTCAACGCTAAGAGTGCTGCTTTAGTTAAATACAAAGGGCAAAATGGAAGAAGTATGTTTAGTTTAGAAATGGGTGGAAATCCTGTCTTACCACCAGGCCAAAATGTATTGAATGTTTTTCTTCAAATGAAACTCAAGGCAGCAAATCAAATAGCATTTAAAAAAAAATCAAACTTTCTAGCATAATCGAATTCAAAGACACACTAATCTGATGATTAACGTGACAGTAGGAAGCAATTGTCTTCGTTTTCCATAATTAAGCAATTATGCTTCTGTAAGCGCAGTGTGCACAGTAAAAACACTGCAGTTCCTAACACACGCTCATCCGGAGCCCGAGTTGACCTGTTGCTGGCCGTTTTCATAGGCACTGGGTGGCTCGGTGGTACACGCAGGGCATAGTTTGCACATTGTGTGCTTAGAGACAAGGCTTGAATGAAGTCACGTGACACAACACAGGTGAGCATGGCTCGAAGCACTTCAGATTCACTGGAAGTCTGAGTTTGAGTTAAAATTGGGTTCCCGTGTGTTTAAAAATGTATTACTGTTACCAAATTTTTAATGAAGTCCATCACCTGTGGCGTCATCCGGGGTCCTCTGACCCACAGTTTAAGAAGCTCGAGTGTAGCATTTGAGGGGGGATGAGTGTAAATGGCCGATACATGCCAGTCATGTGTGTAAATTTATCTTGTGGGTGGGACTGTGTGGTGCGTGTCGGGGCGTCTATGCATCTGCAATCACGTGCATGATGTACTAACTGCTGTTCACGTTTTTACTTCCACTGTCTCCCATCTCTTCTTACTAAACGTAACTCACAGCGGGTGGGATCATGACTTAACTTATGTCTGGTGTCATTAAAATTAATTCCTTGTTCCTTGTGACATTACCAATGTCAACCAATAATAGCCATGTCAATGAATACAACAGCAAAGACAACCAGACAGAAAGTTAGAACTTTTGGACTTTTACCCAGTTTTGAGAACGAAGCGTCCCATCTTTATCTCTTCCTCTGCTTTGATTTCTGCCTGTCTCTACAGCTCTACTCCACTGAGCTGACCTTGGATTTATTGTTCTCTAATCCCATCCTTATAAACTCCACGTGATTTGTGGAAATGAGTTTAGGTTTTGAAATTAAACCAAACTGCATTGTATCTTAAGTCCCATATTTACTGGTTTTATGACCTTGGGACAAGGTATGCAACTTCTTGGTGCTGGCTTCCTCATTTGTGATGGAGAATGATCACATGACATCTGCCTTATAGATGTGTTTGGAGAACTGGTTGGATTGATGGTGTGGAGCTAGGTACTCTCCACATAGTAGGTGCCTTTCTCCCTCTTAGTTTAAATTCTCTTGCTATTTGTCTCTACTGCTTTTTTCCTGTTTCATATCAGAGAAAATGCACGCGTATCCTGGGCTGTCTGTTAGCAGCCTGCTTGGTGTCGATGGGGAATGGAATGGTGAGCTATCACAATTTTGCTTCACTGGGAACATTATACCATGCTTCTTTGGATGTTGGTTAAAAAAAAACTTAATAAGAATAACCACATTTGCCTAATTAAAATTACCCAAAGATAAATGTGAGTTTTTAGAAAGACTCCCCAAAGTCTACAGCAAAGATTCTGCGAGCTAAGTGGCATTGTGAAAAGCTAAGGACATAGCATATTTTCAAAGTTATGATTTTTCAAATTGTCTCCCTCTCCATTTATTATAATGGGTTCCCTCAGAGTGCTCTCCCAACAGCGCCATTATCCCTAGTAGATTTAAAGACTATTTTACCAGTACTTTTTTCCCCCCGAAATAATTGAGTTTGCGGGAATAAACTATTCGGCTCAATATTTTTCATCTCCCTCTAATACAAATGTATTTGATTCCTATAAATCTGAGTGAGGTCAGGGAGGAAATCACACATATTTGTTTTCCACAGGGTACAGGAGCTATTAAGGCATGCTGCACTTATTATAGATCATATTTGCTATTCGGCAAGATAATTTGAATGATTGAGAACACCGTTTGAGAACACGTAACACCAAGAAACAACCAGGAGAGAAAACTGAACGCAAAGTACTCCTCATAATAAATTAAAGAAAATGCTCTGTGGCTACTCACACACTTACATATAGAATATCCCAGCTGAACATCATTCTAAATCACATATGCTGTTATCCTTATGTCTCAGAGATATATTTTATTTTTCTCATATAAGAAAAATAAAAAAATGGCACCAGTGCTTTTATTTGGACCATTTATAATTTGCATGTGTTTTTTTTATGTCTTTCTTCCAGCCTCAAACATGTGGATATTTTCTTGGCTTTGTGTTCTTTTAATTATTTTGGTTGTGGCTGGTGTGGACACAGTAGGGAAGACCACACCGTACACCAAATTTACAAAGAAATCTGACGGGAAGGAGATGCTGAAGGGTCAAAAGCCATCCAATGGCTTTCCTCTGGATGAAGAAGAAGCCCTCCTTACAGAAATGGCTGCCGTGGCAGAGCCCACCACTAGCCCCTCTTTGTCAACCACCGCAGAACCCACCACGGACCCCTCTACTTCCGCCACCGCTGGTCTGTTCGCTTTTGAAAGCTTCTCTCTGGACACGACTCGTTTCTTTTTGAATTGCTGCCATTGCTGTTCACTTGTCACTGGGGAGAAAGGAGAACCAGGAAAGATGGGAAAGCAAGGTACTTGCGAGTGCCCAACCGAATGCCCCCAGAGAGGAGGGCTTGGGGTGAGGAACTGATCTGAGGGTTTCTGCGCTGCAGTACAAGTAGCGGTGCCAGGCTACTCGCCCGTAAAAATGTGACGAATGCAAGTGGAAACATGGCTATTGATACCTATTCAGATTGAGACAAAAATGCAGTTCAGTAACAACAGCTATATTCATTTAAAAAGACATTTATTCTTATTGTATGATTATGGGTATTTTGCCTGCATGGATGTCTGTGGACCATGTGTGTGCCCAGTGCCCATAGAAGTCAGAAGAAGGTGTCAGGTCCTCTGACACTGGGGTTATTGAGGACTTGTAAGTCATCATGTGGGTGTTAGGAATTGAACCCAGGTGCTCTAGAGGAGCAGCCAGTGCTCTTAACCACTGAGAACACTTTTCTGCCTTACTCTCAGCCGTATTTCAAGACCTTTCCCAAGTAACCACACATTGCCTATGCCTACTGTATTGGGTAACGCCTGCTGTATTAATAGTGCTAGTTGGAACTGAGTCAGGGTTCAGCCCAACTTCAGCCTTGAACCTGAGATTTTTCTGGGCAGTTCAGGGTATGAGCAGTGGAGTTTTTTTTTTTTTTTTCTGTCGGTTTAAAAAATGGTAAATGAAAACCCTCTTGCATGGCGAGAAAGTGCGGCAACTGAGGGACTTTGTGAATGCTATTTGTAGTTAGGATTCGAAGTGGAAGGGCTTTGAGTGGAAAATGAAATGTAAAATTCAGCGTGGTCCTCATTGAGATGCGGAAGCAACGCTGCCATTGCCCAGCAATTTTCTGTGTTGAACACTGTGGTTACTATTTTGAAACCTCAGATGTCTCCAATAGATACGTAATGAATACGCTCTCAGTTTGACCGCAGTGCAGTCTGGCTTTCAGGTGCTAGGTAGTGTAGACAACTTGAGATAAAATTAAAGATCAGAATGCCAATTTTAAAGTCACTATTCCCTGAAAAAGAATTCATATGGTGTTTGTGGCATCTAACCTGAGGAAGTAGTTATGCATCACCACTGAGGTTTTAATTGATCTCATCTCATGGTGGCGGGTTTTAGAGAGACGTGCTATTTATGCTGAGCTGGATTAAGGGGTAAAAAGAGTGAGATTAGGACCCCATTTCCCGGCCGATGACACATATTGGAAATGCAATGAGGCTGTGGAAAATCATATTTATCAGAACTCTTCATATCTTACTTTGCTGGCAACACCGCCTTCTCAGGAGACAGTGAGCTCCGTAGCATGAGGGCTTTTGTCTCACCTGATGACAGATGAGATTAGATTGTTCTTGGCCTTCAGCTTTTTTTTTCTAATCTTTGTGACATACATTTTGGAGGTGTGCCCGGTTTCTAGCCTGTCTGTGTAACTCATATGTCATAATCTAGCTGCCTATGTCATCTGACTTAGAATGTTCTGTGTCTGTTTCTGCTCTGGATTAACACGGGGCTTTGCACATGCTAGGCTATTGCTCTCCCACTTTTTATTTTGAGACCATCACACAAAGTGGCCCCTGGTGGTCTTTAATCACTCTGAAGGCCAAGCAAATCAGGAACTCGCCTAACTCCTGCCTCAGCCTTTCAAGTAGTGGCGGTTACAGACCCTTGCTGTCGAGGCCAGGTTCAAGCTCAGAAGTTTAACTCTATCACAGCCCTTTCTAAGGAGACTTCATTACTTCCTGAAGTCTCGGTTTCAACAATGGGAAACAGGGTTAAATGAAACCACGATCAGTATGAATATGTGATGCCCAAAATAGAATAAATACTCTACAAACTGCTTTTATCGCTCAGTTAACATGGAGTGTGGTTCTAGCTTGTGAAATTCTCTGGGCCCGATAGAACAGCATCCTCTTTTTTGAGATTCATTTATTCTAGCTTTAGAATCCTGAAATTTTTTTTTTGAGATTATAATATAATTGCATCATTTCCCAGTTCTCAATCTTTCTCCAAACCCTCCCAAGTACCTTGCTTTGCTGTCTTTCAAATTCATGGCCTCTTTTTCCCCTTTAATTGCTGTTACATACTTTTATGTGTTTACATATGCATGTATATATACACATGCATATTTCTGAGTATATACATAGATCTGCTCAGCGACCTTTCCTTTTCTTTCTGTGTTCCTTTCATTAGAAATCAATATGAGCAGCATTGAACAAATTCAGAGAAAAAGAAAAAACCTATACAAATCCAAGCATCTCAACTTTTTTTCCTTAACGCTCTGTCTTTGGTCACGTAAACACACATATTGCAGGCATCACACGGTGCATGATCTACTTTTAAAAGTCCACTTAGATCCAATTTATAGATGAAAAACATTATGAAAATATGGAGATTATATTCAATGGCCAGAAGGCAGTTCTCCGTCTCTTGCTTCTGTTTTTGGTTCAGTTGCTGTGGCCTCCCCATGTTAAGAAGAGCGGGAAATTTGACATCATTTCTAAAACTTTATAAAATGACTGAAGGTATTTTCACATTGCACCTAGCCATGTGCTCCGGTTCAGTGAGCATTTGGTCAACTTGGAGGTTGCAGCACCTGCCTGCACAGAGACTGGAGGCAAAATCAATGGTTCACCTTGAGTTCATTCTTAAGGTGTTTACGAGAATACTCCCTAGGTGTCCTTCTCATGTGATAGAGTCACATGATGTGCAGTCACATGTGTGCAGTCACATGATGCGCCTGTGCCAACTCAGGGGTGTGGTTTGTTGTTTCCTTCAACAGCAGAGCCCCACCGAGCCTTGGGGGACAATGTGCAGGGAAAAAAAGACAGTGGCTTTCTTGTTTACTTTCACCTCCTCTATTCCTGTCTCTATTCCTCTTCTCCAGGCAATTCTCCTTCAAGTGGAGGAGACGGCCTTCAGCCCTAACCTCTACTGCAAGCAACTCATCAGTGGTTTCCTCTTACAAATTTATAGTTTCTTCCAAAGATGCATTCTACTGAATATGATTTTTCATTTCACTGAATTTACAAAAAATTTAATTTCTATTTCATTCTATCCCATTAGCCTTAATTATAATTAAAATGCCATTTTGTAACTTCATTGGGTGAGATTATCTATATGGCAAACTTTTGGAGAAATTAGCCTTGAATTATTCTAAGTAAGGAGCAATTTTTACTCGGCAAATAGGACTGAATTTTCAGAAAGAATAATGAATTGGCTGGGCGGTGGTGGCGCATGCCTTTAATCCCAGCACTTGGGAGGCAGAGGCAGGCAGATCTCTGTGAGTTCGAGGTCAGCCTGGTCTACAAGAGTTAGCTCCAGGACAGGCTCCAAAGCCACAGAGAAACCATCTTGAAAAAGCCAAAAAAAAAAAAAAAAATAATGAATTGATTTAGGTGTGTTCTAGGTTAGTGACTGCCTGGATGAATAAGTGTATCTGTTGTGATTTGAATGAGGAAGGCCCCCAAAATTCATATTTCTATGCTTAGTGTAGCAGGCTTTCTTTTTGGCCACCAACCAGCTTGCAAATCAGGACATGGAGACTTATTATTAGCTAGGAATGCTTGGCCTTAGTTCATGCTTGTCTCGTTAGCAATTATAACTTAATGGAACCTATTTCTCTTCATCTGCATTTTGCTTCGGGACTTTTACGTTTCTTTCATTCTGTATGTCTGGTCCTTGTCTACCTGGCTGACGGTCCTGGGCATCTCCTTCTCTTTCTCCCTAGTTCTCTCCTCCTCCCAGTTAACCTCTGTGCCTGCCAGCCTCACCTATCCCTCTACTGCTTAGCTATTGGCCGTTCAGCTTTTCAGTACACCAATCAGATGCCTTATGCAGGCAAGGTGAGGCAGCTATACATCTTTTCATCGTTAAACAAATGTAACACATCCTTACATAGTTAAACAAACAGCATAAACAAACACAACACATCTTTACCTATTTCAAGCAATATTCTATAAAAGCTTAGTCCCCAGATTGGTAACTATCCAGGAAGGATTAGGAGGTGTGGTCGTGTTGTAGGAGGAGTGTAACTGGGGGTGGGCTTGGAGGGTTAAAAAGCCTAAGTCAGGCCCAGCCTGTCTCTCTCTGCACCCTGCTTGTGGATCAGGAGGAAGAGCTCTCCGCTATTGCTCCAATGCCAGGCCTGTCTGCTTCCCACCATGATGGTGGTACCCTATGGGACTGTGATCCTCAAATTAAATGATTTCTTTACCGTGGTTATCTTGGTGATGGCATCTCTTCACAGCAGTAGAATAGTAACTGAGACAGTGTCCAGTGAGGTCGGAGACTTGCATGATCTCCACTGTGCCTGCCTCTCAACCCCCACCCCCTTTTTTGGTCATGACTTCCATGCACCATGCTACTTTTTTCAGTTGTTTAAAGACACTGTTTTTTTTTTTTTTAAAGACAGTTCCTTTGTTGAGTCTTTGCTTAATACTGTTTTCTCAGGGAATTGTCTTCTGAGCCCCCATAAATGTATAGCTCATTTTATTTCTAACTATAACTTACAACAGGACCTTCCTATTTACTTTGTATCAACTAGAGTGAATAATTCCCATTTCCCCTTATGTTATATGTTTAATGTTCATCTTACACAGATTCTCATCCCTGGGTGGCGGGAGATTGTTGCATTTCTTGTATCTAACAAGAGGATTCAGTGCACAGAAAACGTCACAAATCATTCCTAATCAGTGAGTGAGTGGATGAAGGGGAATCTCAAAGTGTTTTTTTTATTTTTTTTATTTTCAATTTAAAAGTGTGGTCCTATGAGGTGAAGCGTCAGATAATCATTTTGTTTTTGTCATTTGATATAGTGCCACTTCCCTGAATCATTTGATCACTGCCATGAATTTAGTGACAGGTACTAATGGGCTCAATTTATCTATTCAGGTAGTACAAATGGCAAATCAGAAAAAATCAGACAAAAATACTGCTCTCAGAACTCTGTAGTGGCTTATTCTTGCCAGATTTTATCATTAGGACACGGACAGTTTTTGATCTCAATAAAATAACGACCTCTTCCCCTGAACTAATGAATTTCAAAATATGATTTTTCTAATGTGATGATTTTGAAACTTCCTTCCTAGGTTCTAAAGGGGAGACTGGTGACGTTGGCAGCCAAGGGCCCCCAGGAATCACTGGACCCCAAGGCCCCAAAGGCCAGAAAGGAGAGAAGGGTGGGTAACCATTTCCTTTTCGGATCAAACTTGGAGACTCTGAAACAAAGGCTCAGTTATTGAAAGAGGGTTTTTAAAAGTACAAATATTTGATAAATCATCTCATATATTAATTTGACATGAAATATTAACTTTGAAAAACTTTCAGGTATATGTAAACCATCCTGCCCCCTTTCCTTCTCTGTCTCACGCTCTCACATGCACACAGTCACATGCACGTACACACACACACACACACACACACACACACACACACACACACAATGACATATATACACACACGCCAGTAGGGGAGACTATTTTCTTAAGTTATACTATTTTTCATTTATTCAGGCAACATGTTTTAATTATGTTTTTCCTTCTCCCATCTCCTCCCAGATCTCTGCCACCTCTTTACCCATCCAACTTCATGTTCTCTCTCTCTCTCTCTCTCTCTCTCTCTCTCTCTCTCTCTCTCTCTCTCCATGCTTCCCCCAAATAAAAACCACAACAAAGAACAGAAATCAAAACAAACAAACAAATTATAAGAAAAAATGCCAAGAGAAACTCTTTTTTTCTTATTTATTTATTTATTTATTTATTTATTTATTTAAGATTTCTGTCTCTTCCCCACTGCCGCCTCCCCTTTCCCTCCCCCTCCCCCTAATCAAGTCCCCCTCCCTCGTCAGCCCAAAGAGCAATCAGGGTTCCCTGCCCTGTGGGAAGTCCAAGGACCACCCACCTCCATCCAGGTCTAGTAAGGTGAGCATCCAAACTGCCTAGGCTCCCACAAAACCAATACGTGCAGTAGGATCAAAAACCCATTGCCATTGTTCTTGAGGTCTCAGTAGTCCTCATTGTCCGCTATGTTCAGCGAGACCGGTTTTATCCCAGGCTTTTTCAGACCCAGGCCAGCTGGCCTTGGTGAGTTCCAGATAGAACATCCCCATTGTCTCAGTGTGTGGGTGCACCCCTCGAGATCCTGAGTTACTTGCTCGTGCTCACTCTCCTAATGCTCCTGATTTGGACCTTGAGATTTCAGTCCGGTGCTCCAATGTGGGTCTCTGTCTCTGTCTCCTTTCATCGCCTGATGAAGGTTAATATTCAGGAGGATGCCTGTATGTTTTTCCAAGAGAAACTCTTAAACAGCCTTCCCACCACTTCCTGGCTCCCGGTGTGACCCAGAGACTAGAAGTTACAAGGTATGGACTCTAGAGAAGGTCTTTTCTTTTAGTGTGAGATCTTTTATTCCTTCTTTTCCTTGCTCTAGTACTGGGGAGTGAGGCCATGCATGCTAGCTAAGGCTCCTCCACTGAGCTATACACACCCAATTAAGTGTGGATATTTTTCTTTAATGCAATTAAGTTAACATTAAATAGTACCAGAGTAGGTAATCCTGTAGAATATTTAGTTTTGGTAGAAATCTGGATGGTAAGGAGCATTTGATATTGTTTTTGACTCACTCTGAAATCAGAGGTGTTATCAATGATGGCACAACTGAATAAATTAACTAATAAGCTCAAACAAATCAAGAAATAATTAAAACACAGCAATGATTTTTTCTGCTGGCTGGACCCTGACAGAAGTGGATTTTTATTGACTAACAACCTGTTTCTCAAAGAAGATTTGTAGCTATGAACACTTCCATTGATCTTTTCCTGCCCAAGAAGTCTATAACTCTGAAAACATTAGCCTTTCTGTCCCAGAAATGACTGGTTCTTTCAGTACAAAGGTAGTTACAGATTCCCTGGGATAGTTAGAATTTCCCCAGTGAATACTGGTACCCTATACAAAGACTGTCTGTCCATCAAGCTCAGTGCTGTCGGATGTCAGAAGGCCTAATGTCACGTATACATCACCCTCCGCACGGCTCGGGAACTGCCTAACTCATTCTTGCCGGAACAGTCAGTGAAGTAATTACTCAAAAAATATGCTCAGGCGAGAGAGTGCTACTTCACACTTGTCAGCTCTGCGATTCTCATTCTTGGAAACATTTAATCCTTTTGTGGCTGAATCATGTTAGCAGGGAGCCTGTGAAATAAGGTTGGGTGATGAACTTCCTCGGAGCTTCGTACGTTTTGGGAGCTAGACTTCTGGAAGTGGAAGAAAATCCGGGGCGGTACCGTAAGACACGGTTCTTAAGAAGAGGCTTTGATGAACGATCAAAGCATCATTTCATTCAGCCAGTCTTTATAAAGTGGCAACTCTACTTTCCCTTTACTTCCAGAGTTGGCGTGGACTCCTGGTTAAGAATAAAAGTTTCAACGTTTCCAAAACCTTGTTTGAATGGCTGCACGCTAGTCCGTCACCGCCTAACTGAATACTTTCAATTAAGGCGATTAATCCCCTTAAATAAACTTAAATGCCACTAATGCTGGGTGTGGTGGCGCACACCTTTAATCCTAGCACTTGGGAAGCAGAGGCAGGCAGATCTCTCTGAGTTCAAGGCCAGCCTGGTGTAGTGAATTACAGAACACCAGGGATACATTCAGCATCAGAACCTGTCAGAATATGTTTGGATATTTTTCTGGTACTCCATAGGTTAAATTTGCACATTTGACTTTGTTTAGAGTAATAAATAGAGAAGCCAGTTCCTTAGGAAACTAGAGTGACCCATATTGGATTTCTCTGGGTGGTATTATGGCAAATATCTGAATGTTTAAGTCTTTTTATTATCATAATGTTTCCTGTAGCTCTGTAAGAGTATGCAGAAATTATTATAACATGTAAGGAAAATGACCCATTTTGACAGTGTCTCTTAAAGGTGGTTTTTCTTTCCTGGCTTTGGTTTTTGTTAGTTTTAGTGAATGGAAGAAAGTGGTTCTCTCTCTCTCTCTCTCTCTCTCTGTGTCTCTCTCTCTCTCTCTCTCTCTCTCTCTCTCTCTCTCTCTCTCTCTCTCTCTCTCTCTCTCTCTCTCTGTCTAAACTTCTATAGTGGGTGGCAAAGAAGAGAGATTTTGCCCGACATTCAAAATTTACAATAGGAAAACACCAGCTCACACATACACACCATTTGCCGATTATTTGAAATTTCATGAGGAATTTCAAGAATTATGTGAAGACTGCAAGGAGTTCTGCTCAAGGGATCAGCTGTTAATCCCTTCAAAGTGGCTTACTATTAACCAGAACTCACAACCCCAGATGCCCTTCAACACCTTCTTTTCTCGTACTGCTTTTCCTTTAAACAACTTTTGTTAAGAAACGTTGGAACATGGCGAAGCTCTGAACCACAAGCTAGATTTATCCCAAATAACATAGGTCCGTTAGAATTAATTCCTGTACTATTTTAGGACTGAAGGGAGAACGGGGAGACCAAGGAGCAGGTGGCATTCCAGGATACCCAGGAAAGCCTGGAGAGCAAGGTAAAGTCCAATTGATCTACCACGTGACGACCCGAGTGCAGGAAAGCCCTGTCTCTTCCTGCTTGGAAATGTCGCATGGGCAAGGTTTATACTCCAGTTCTCACTATTTTAATAACTCAGTGTGCTCATTGTGTGAGTTGAATCCAGGAGCTGAGACATTAGGCAAATATGTCTGTGCTCTGATCCCTTTCCTGAGCTCTTATCAGAAATGGAATCTGCCTTTCCTCTTCTGTGCCTGTGAGACTTTGGGTGTAGACGGGTGAAACAGAGGTTGGAGCCCTTACACGAGTTGGGTCAAGTGCAAAAGCTAGTGGAATAAAACACCTCTGTATTATCTTAAAAGCAAAGCAAAGCAAAGCAAAAAAAAAAAAAAAAAAAAAACCTGAAACACTACTGTTTCTTGGAAGCCTTAGCTATTCTTCTGAGAACGTGACACGGTAATTACTGCTCGCTACATTTAATGACTCCTTGAAACAGACATTACCGAGGCAAGAACCAGGTTTACAGGTCCTATTGGTGGGAATTACTTTAATATTTTAGGTAATAGCATCCTGTCGTAGCTTATATGATTCTTAAGCATTATTTTACTTTTTCATTGTAGGTGGTTTTGGTCCCAAGGGAGACAAAGGAAGCATTGGTCCGGCAGGAATAAAAGGACAGAAAGGCTCCAAGGGGGACCTGTGTGACAATGGCACCAAAGGAGAGAAAGGGGACCCTGGGGCCACTGGTGCCCATGGCTTCATTGGAGAGCCTGGGGCCAAGGGCGAGAAGGGAGATGCTGGGGAGAAAGGCGATCATGGAGATTTTGGGGAGAGGGGAGAGAAGGGGCAGAAGGGTGAGGCAGGCGTGAAGGGAGAAAAAGGTAGCAGAGGAGAAGGGACCGAAGGCAAAGGCGGCTCAGATGGTCTACCTGGACCCAGAGGCGATCCCGGCCCTAAGGGAGAAAAAGGAGATGCAGGTCCTCCTGGTTTAACCGGACCTGCCGGGCCAAAGGGCGAGCTGGGGAGCAAAGGGGCTCGAGGGCCTACTGGGAAGAAGGGCTCCCGGGGGATCAAGGGCTCCAAGGGCGAGGCCTCTCATGTTCCACAGTCGGCTTTTAGTGCCCTGTTGTCCAAGCCTTTTCCTGCCCCAAACATTCCCATCAAATTTGACAAGATTCTCTCCAATGACCAGGGCCATTACAACCCCATCACAGGGAAGTTTAACTGCAGCGCTCCAGGGACGTATGTGTTCTCCTATCACGTCACAGTCAGGGGCCGACCTGCTCGAATCAGCCTTGTGGCCCGCAACAAGAAGCAGTTCAAGTCCAGGGAGACGCTCTATGGTCAGCAAGTAGACCAGGCCTCCCTCCTGCTCATTCTGAAACTGAGTGCCGGAGATCAGGTGTGGCTGGAAGTGTCTAAGGACTGGAACGGACTGTACGTCGGCCCCGAGGATGACAGTATTTTTAGTGGGTTCCTCCTGTACCCGGAAGAAACTCATGGAAAGTCACCATAAATTCGGGTTTTGGACACTGCACTTTTGATTTAGTCTATTAATCTTGAGCCCAGCTCTTAAAAACTTTGATTTTTTTCATGATTATAAGTGCAACACAGAAACATTTAAAAACTGTACAACATAGAACGACTCTGATTTCAAAGCATCTCCTTTGAAATATTTATGTCTTTGAGAACATGTCTATTAAGTTTGTAGCTAACATTTTTCGTTTAATAATGTAATGATATTACTGATGCCATTTCAGGAATTAATAATGGCAACGCTAAAAGCTATGAATGAGGTTTATAATTAATAAATATTTAAGTGATGGTTTGAATGTCTCCCATATGAATGAATGTTTGGTCACAGGAAGTGAAACTGTTTGAAAGAATTAAGAGGTATGGCCTTGTTGAAGGAAGTGGGTCACGAGGGGTGGGCTTTGAGGTGTCGGAAGCCCTTGCCAGGCCCAGTGTCTGTCTCTTTCTGCCTGCTGTCCGCAGGTCAGGATGCCAAGCTCTCAGCTATCACTCCAGCATCAGGCCTGTCTGCTTCCCACCGTGATGACCATGCATTCTACTACCCCCTGAAACCATCAGCCCCAAACTAAATACTTTCTATTATGAGAGCTGTCTTGGTCGTGGCGTCTCTTCATATCAATGAAACACTAAGACAACATCCTTCTCAATACTTTCTTTTACCTCATGTAATGACACATCACTCTGCTCTGTGTGAATGGGAGGCCAACATCTGACAGACCATGACGGCAGCTCTTTCGCAAAGTCCCCGATTCTCTTGGAAGGAAGGGTTGCCTTTCAACGCAATAGAGGCATTCTCTTTCAGATTTAATTCAGAAAAAAAAAGGACACAGGCAGTGTGGCAAAGAATTGGAAAAATGGCTTTAAAACTTATTCATGTGTAAGGATTTGTACATAAGCCTATATCATGTAGACTAAGGTAAAACGTAAAAAAGAAAATTGATAAAGATGTCACTCAGTTAACTATTCATCAAATTATTGTACATAGAACTGAATGTCCCCAAAAGACTCAAGAACAAAGTTAAACCAATATTGATTAAAATTTCAGGCTTTTCTTCATGATAGAACATTTAATTAGGATACATTCTTGGCACCATTATCATCATCTCAATAATAATTAATTCCAGTTATTCAGTGATAACGTGTTGGGAACAGGTGGGGGTAGGAAATCCATTTGCAAAGTGAATGTTTAATAACTGTGAATATTGGATAATTCAGCAGTTTCTCTCTTTTAAAAAAAGTGAAATTTATGGAATCCAAATGGATAGTTACACGGATTTGCAAATCTGAGTAGTTATACAGATTTTTGCAGAGGTCTAAGTTACACAGACTTGCAAATCTTTGTGTGCCAGGCCAGGAAATGGGTGCCTGGGAATTTTCTGGCTCTGTTCTGCCAGTTTGGGTAGGCGCTCACTTTTGAGACCCTCATCCATATGTATACTAACAGAGTGTTTCCCAAACAGTTCGAGGAGCGCCGCTTCTAGATGCTACTGCACATCTCTAGAAAAAAAGTAGCTTCCATGTTAAACAAATGCTGGAAGAGCTATACATACATATGTAGCATGCAAGGAGTCATAAAGCCCATTGAGGTAGTCTCTGGAAATTGCACAGGAAATAAATTAGTGTCATATTGTGTTGCTCCATGACCCTGAGATTATTGTTGGTTTTGAATTCATTTCATGAACAATGTTCTTCAGGATGTTAATGTTGGAAATGTAGCATGAGTTTCTTCTCCAATGATTCTCTTCTGTGTAGACCAGAATGTGGCTTTTGTTAGGACTGTGGCTGGATTTTTGTAGAGAAAGAACGAGATAGCTGGCAAGTGATTTAAATAAGTTACACCTCATTTGAAATCTTTCTTCCCTAATGTGGGTATTAAATAGTGAAGTGATTCAGGAACATAGAGTCTTATCTCCTGTTTTTTGATTCCTATGTTTTTTTTTCCTTAAATTTATGTTATTTTATTTTGTGTGTATGAGTGATTCAGCACACATATGTTTGTGCACCATGTTTCTGATAAAGCCAGAAGACAATATTAGATCCCCTGGGACAGGAGTTACAGACAGTTTGGGGCTGTCATGTTGGTGCTGGGAATCAAACTTGGGTCCTCTGGAAGAGCACCGAGTGCTCTTAACAACTGGACCATCTCACCAGCCCCTTTCCTGCTCTTTATATCATGTCTAACACTGAGTTTGAGGAGGCTGTGACTAAGTAGCGCAGGAAGATAAAGTTATAAAAACCCCAAAATACACACAAGCACATCAAGGTATTAGGGATGAGGACAACCAGGCAGCGGGCCAGCAAGGGAGCCATCCAGCTTTAGGTTCTATGGTACCTGACAGTTCCTTCCATCTGTTTGTGATGGGCATTTTCTAGGAAGTCTAACATGTTCATGGTTACTATTTGATGATAATTGATGATAATTATGAACATTCTACAAGGGATCCAAACCAAAGTGGCTTCTGCTTATGGATCCTTTTCACATCTCCACCCATCCAACCTCATACCATCTTTCTCTCCATCTTTAGAAAGTAAAAAGGCAAATAAAACAAGATCAGATAAACAACTTGAACAGACATATGACCCCTACTTAAATAAAAGTAGTAATTAAAAGTTTCCCAACCAAAAAAAGGCAAGGGACTGATTGACCAAGTCAATGCAGAATTCTACCAGACCTCCATAGAAAATTAGTGCCAATGCTCCTCGAAGTATTCCACAAAATAGAAAAAAATAGGATCATTGCAATTTTTTTTAGGAAGTTTCAATTACCCTGATACCTAAAGTACAGAATAACCCAACAACAACAACAATAGAAAATTGTAGACCAGTTTCTCTTATGAGTGTATATGCAAAAATTCTCAACAAAATACTTGCAAACTGAATCTAATAAAACATAAAAAACATTGTCCTCCATGATCAAGTAGGCTTCATTCCAGAGATGCAGGGATGGTTCAATAAATTTCAATAAATGAAAGTCCGTTAATGTAATCTACCTTGTAAATGTAATCAGACTCAAAGACAGAAACCACAAGATTTTCAGATGAAGAAAAGATAATTGACAAAAATCAACATTCCTTCATTGTAAAAGTTATGGAGAGACCTGGAGCACAAGAGGCGAATCTCAGCATAACAAGGACGATTTACAGCAAGCCCACAACCAAAGTCAGAGTAAACAGAAAAATGGATAAAGAAAATGTGGTACATTTACACAATGGAATATTATTCCGCTTTGAGATATGAAATCATGGAATTCATAGGTAAATGGATAGAACTCAAAAAACCAAAACCAAAACCAACCAACGAAACAACCCCCCAAAACGTATGGGGTGAACTAATCCAGATCCAAAAAGCCAAATATGGTAGGTATTGTATTCTCTAATATGTAGATGTTAGCTTTTAAGACTTTGATAAGCCTTATACAATCCATAAAACCATTATTTCTCAAGGAAGGGGAATAGGATCTATAGTGATGAGAACAGTAGAGGAAATGGGGTTAGATGGAGAGGGGTAGGGAGGAGGAGTGGAAGGGAGGGAATTTGGGAATGGGCAGCTAACACTAGAAGCCATGTGGGGGAGGGTCATATGAAAACCTACTATAGTAGAAGCTTCTTAAAATGTATATTAATAATATATTTATATAAAATAAAAAATATATGAAAGAAATCTAAGGGGAGTCACCAAACAGCATGGAGATAAAGCCCCATCTAGACATCTTTAACAGCAAGTAAAATCCCCAGTGCCAGGAAGAAGTTCTATATAATTAGCTGTTAGCCAAAGGGGCTGCATGGAAACCTCTCAGGCTACCGTCAAGGCTATTGGTTGCTCTCCACAAACAGATGGCAAAGCCCTACCGCAGAAGACAATATCTACATATGTCAGTGAACACAAGAAAGTCATACTGGTGCCTAAATAGAGCCTTCACCCTATATCACCAGTGGTCACGGTACTGGAAAGTACTCTTCACGCTGCCAGAGGAGAAAGGTTAACATCAGTGTATACTGGTGATCTGACCACGATACACTGGTGCACAGGGGCACAGAAGTTGTGGGGGTAAACAACCAATATCTGATAGGGTCTAAGGCCAGCCCTCTCTCTGAGATGAAGTCCATGCCTGACACTGCTTGGGTAGCCACGAGCCTGAGACTGGATAGTTCATGGACTTAGGGAAAAACCAAATACTGTTATTCTGCTAAAGGCATGCAGCAATAAGATGACTCCTAACAGCATTTTGTTGCAGCCATAGATCAGTGTCTTGCTCAGCCATCGTCAGAGAAGCTTCCTCCTGCAGAAGATGGGAATTCACACAGAGATCCATAACTGCGCAGTGTGCAGAGAGCGAGAACACTTCTCACCTTGGAACACTCCGTCCTAAATGGAATGTCTTCTTCAGATCCTTCCCGTCAGGACACTCTGTGGAAGAGAAGACAGAAAGGTTGTCAGAGATGGTAGGGTTGGATAACACCATGAAAACAGCACCTTACAGATACACTCACAGAAGCTGTACAGAGGCTTCCCAGGCCCAAGCCAAACGGGGTCCCAGCCCTGAGAGGGAGAAGGGGACACTAGCTCCCATCCCTAACCATAAGCTATCTCCAAGTGTCAACTGCTTACAAAGGAAAAAAAAAAAACAAGTTTTTTCACGTGAAGTCTCTGTGCGTACACAAACCACACTTTAGGGCAGGCCCCATGCCTGGCAGTAGATGGGCCAATACAAAATGAATTCAGTGGTATTTTTTGGAGAATTTTTTTTTTTTTTTGGTCTCATAATGCTTTTTTTGGGCATTGTCTACATTTTGATTATCTATTATGGCTTTTGATTTTGCATTTTTACGGTGTGTGTGTGTGTTTTGCATTTTTTCCTTTTTTTCTGTTTTCTGTTTTATCTTTAGGGTCCGCATAGTAAAAACGACCAGAGTGAAGGCTGAAGTTTAAACCCGCAAGGCAGTAGGAGATCTCACCACAAGGTGGCGCTCTCAGATTATCTTTGCTTAGATAATCTATCTTTACCAAGATAAAAATCTTTATAAAGAAAAAAATCCCCCGACTCTCTTAACCTCCAAACAGACATTTTGTAAGGCAGATAAAATGATGATTGAGGCCTTTCTATTAAGGACCTGTTTTATATTTGGTTGTGTTTCAAATGCCACACGCTTTCCTGCTTCGTGGAGATGTAAACCTCCATAGTTGCAGCGAGAAATTTACAAGCAAAGAAAGGAAGTTGCTGCCCTGGGAGAAGGCTCTACCCGTTCTCATC